ATATAATAAATATATAAATAATAAATTACATGTCAAACTAATCAAAATTCTTTTATAGGCCAGGTGGTAGCAATAGCCGTGAGATATTTGGTCCCCCTTATTCTAAGGATTTTACCGAGAATTCACCTAAAAACGGAGTTCACGATATGGTCCATATGATACCGGAAAGGGATACGGATAGCGTGGCACCGACACCGACCCCGCAACAACACCCACGTTACTTTCAACACCATCATCTCAGTTTACACGAGCTCCGTGCACTTCAGGTACATAAAAATATTTCAATCTATGATAAATCCAGAAAAGCATTAAAAATTCCACAGATATATGTGTGTCTGATTTCTAATATTTCTCTGATATTTTATTATTATAATAAGCATTTTTTTCTTACGCTCTCTATGTGCGTGTTAAAAAGATCAAATTTTTGCAGAGGCGGCCAGAATGTACCGGTAACCATGTCGGATACCGGCGGCCACACGAGCAGCAGCTCGCCGCCGCATCGTCACCACAAGACTCACAGTCCTCAGCAACTGAACGCTGTACCCGAGGACGATCGACTCTCGGCGTCGGTTACTCAAAGGAACGGCAAAAGATCCGGCCAAAATCGTAATCGGCATAGAGCTACTCCTGCTAAGGTTTCAATAAAATTGTTCTTATGAATATTAGTCGAAGATAACTGAGATTTTTTATCAATTCTCTCTCTGCTTCTCTCTTGTACTGTCAGAAAAGAAGAGCAGAAAATCAGTTAAATTTCAGTTAGAATTTATACAAAATAAAGATGTGTTGAAAAATATTATAGACATTGTCTGGGAATGTTAATGGATATTATGTTTGGTTCTATAAATATTAATTAATCCAATGAAAATAAATGCAAAATTGTCCGTTAACGAGATTTATTTTGCATCATTTCATCTCTTATTCTGGTTACAGCTGCAGGTACCATGGTCGGGTTCCGGTTTAGAGGACATAAAGCTGGCGATCCAACAACTGACAATGCGCTCGCACAAGTCTTCGTCGACGTATTCATCGTTGAGCGGCTCGGAAAGCTCGGAGCCGGCGGTGAGAAGGCTAATGCGACACTCCAGTCTGGAAACAATCAACACCAACGTGACCAGCGCCGACGAATTCGTCTGGGTGGACTCTCACAATCGTTTGGTGGAATTGCAGCAGTTACCGTGGACCCATCACGACGTGCTGCGCGTGCTTCAGAATGGTCGCACGAGGGAGCACATGGAGCAGGTTTCGATGGAGACTATCCCACGGCTCTCCTATCTATTGCAACGCGCCCTAGTCAGGATCGGTCGTGAGACTCAGAGACTGGCAAAGCCCATAGGTCTTTGCAGCAAGCACGAGGTGTACAGCGCCTTCAAGATCGTGCTCTGTCCAGCTCTAGCGGATTCCTGTACCAAGGTACGCTTGGAAGTAATTGCAATTGTGTAAGAAAGAAGAATTGGACGCTGTTATTATTGAATATGTCATGTTGTTAATATTTTAATAATAATTTGATTGCAAAACGCTCAACTAAACGTTAGTCATTGCCATTTGATATTTGACAGGCTTGCCTTCGAGCCGCTGCGATGTTCGCTGTATCCGGCGATCAGCTAAAACAATCGAAGGCTTCCCGTTCGGGGTTACAATTGCCCGTCGGACGTTTCTTACGCTGGATGTCCGATGTAAAACTCGGTCGGATGATTCACGAATACGCCGCAATATACCTCACGGCCGGAATTGAGAATCTTCTGGAAGAGATACTGTTGCAATGTGTGCCGACTGAACCGCATACGACACTCACGGCGACGATGCTGGAGCACGCTATAGCCAACAGCGGCGACTTATGGGGCCTGTTGCAGCCGTACGCGCATCTGAACGCTGGTCGAACGGCATCAGGTTCGTTATCTTATTATTTGATAAAGAAAAGAATGTCATATTCTGCGAACGTTCAACAATTACACGTATGGATAAATTTATTTAATTGTATTTACCTCTCTCGGCAGACGCTTAATTTTCATCTTATTTATTAATTAAATCTCTAATTAGAACTAGGCACTAATTGTGCTCATAAAAAAATAGAAAAATACATGATAGATTAATATATTTATCATATCACATTAAAATATTTCTTATTGCAGGCGCTCTCGCGATGCCTCGCTGGGCAAGCGTAAGTTCCTTGAACTCATCATCGTCGTCGCGCAGCGGGCGAGACGTAGTCCAGTCGGCCTTGGAACCATCGCTGCTTACGACATGTGTGGGCTCGATGTCGGAATTGGTTGATTTGATTTCCAAGGTAGCACAGGCGGGACATTGCTCTATACCGCTAACAACAAGAGCGTTACACGCCTTGTTTTATTACATGAGATGCTCACAGGTATAGAAGATTTTTCTCGAGAGACTTAAAACAGAGAATTATCTCAAGATTTATATTTATGAGTGTACGCCATTGATCTAATCCAACGTATTGCTTAAGCTCGAACATGGTGAACGTGGATCTGGAATACAAGAATTGGCGTATGAACGAGCCTATGTGGTGTTGCCACCGTTAGTGGAATGGCTGCGGGTAGCTGCAGCGCACGCGGAGCATAGACACGGTCTCGTTGTAGACCAAGATGACATCAATCAAGCTGCCCGGTTACTGTTGCCCGGCGTGGACTGTCCCGTTCGACCGATAAGGTCAGTCAGGTTGCGCAACTTTTTATTAAAATAAAGTTATTGTAGAGTAAATAATTGGGGATATACAGATTCATCTCAATTTTAGTCTTGTTGATTCTGAAATCTCCACCATCCAAGTTATCTGGTAACTTTATTAAAATCTATATGCCTCTATATGCAGCTCTGAGGAGATTGCAGTGTGCTCGAAGCGCGTCGACGACGCGGAATATGTCCGGCTGTTGACGTTAGACATGGCCTTCAAGATGTTGATCAGCGGTCGAACGGATCTCATAGCCCAGGCGATGCCACTGTTGCCTTCGACGAAGATCAATACAGTAAACGACGCCGGATTCACAGCTTTGATGCTAGCGTGTATCAACGGTGACGAAGCAGCTACGACGGCCCTGCTGGATGCCGGGGCGGATTTAAATATCGAGAGCCCGTCGGCGGCGACGCATTCGTCAGTGAATACGCCTTCCAAGATGCCGCAAACTTCTTCCTCCGGTGCACTAAATGCTAGAAGTCCGATCAATCAATCGATGATGATGACGCCGACTGGTAAAACAATGTCGAACACGAATGTAACGACCGCTAATAGCCCGGGTAATCCCAATGGAGTTTCCCCGGGCAGCGTGTGCTACGCGCAAACTGCTTTCAATGCAGAAACGCAACATTGGACAGCTCTAACTTACGTGGCTCTGTTGGGTCACTGTAACATCGCGAGAATATTGCTGGAGAGAGGTGCCGCAGTGGAGGGCGGCGCGAAACTCAGCGAGGACAAATGCACGGTCACACCTCTGCAGGCAGCCACAGCATCGGGAAACAACGAGATGGTAGCTCTACTTTTAGCGCACGGTGCGCAACCATTCCTGTCCACTCTGATCAAAGATTCGTTCTCCTACTCGGGTTCAGCGCAACGTGGTTGTTACAGGTAATAGCTATTTTAGTTTTGCAGCTGTGTTTATGAGCTCATTGAAATTCCGTTGAACGGTAATGGATAATTTTTTGAGGAGAAATTTTGATAAAAACACTAATCTATATTGAAAAGTCAAGATGAATACTTTAGTAAAATGTATTAATAGAAATTAGAATTCTTAATTTTGTATTCTCGATAAAAATAGCGCAATATCAGTGGCAACAGCGCATGGCCAAAGAAGCTGTCTTCATCAATTGTTGTCACATCCACTCAACTTCTCAGCCAAACGTGGGGAGAAGGAGATATTATCTTTGGAAGAGATATTAGCGGAAGGTAATGCCAGCACTAATTCTCAACAGCAAATTGCTGAAGGGAGGGGAGCTCGCAGAGAAGGCAAAGAACCAGTATTTAATAAGATACAAACAAAGGCACTGCAGGAAGCGATGTATCATAGTGCGGAAAGCAATCATTTAGGTAAAACAATATAATTCTTAAAAATTTATAATATAATATAATGTATTGAAGAAAGTTTTTATGTTTTATATTTTCATATAATTACATATGTTAAATATTATTATACTTATTACGATTTCATAGATATCACCATGGAACTTCGTGGGCTAAAAGTAACCTGGACATTGCATTGCTGGATGCATAGTCTCGCGACGGCTCACGAAATGCGACTGGATTCGGTTATAGATCAACTACTTCAAGACTTTCTTCAAGTCTGCCCGGATGATTATTCTACACAATTCGTTCAGGAATGTCTGCCGCTTTTATTCAATATCTTTAGATATAGCAAGGTATATAAAAAAAGAGTTGCTTGCATATTATTATTGTTGATTTTAAGATTAATTGTAAAATATATATTATATGCGCATTGATGCAATTTAAGATGTCATTTGTATTGTGTTTTTGCAGAAGGAAGGCACAACGCTCTTGCTCGCTGATATATTTTGCACATGCTTTGGCTGGGAGCCGATCAAGCCAATTAGAGATACCACTCTGTCGAGCGGATCGAGAATCGATCCAAAGTTTGTGAATAATCCCGAGTTAAGTGACGTACAATTTAGAGTTGAAGGTCGCGTTTTCTACGGTCATAAAATTGTATTGGTTACGTCTTCCCCGAGATTCAGAAATATGTTAAGCTCAAAATTATGCGAAGGCAATCCTCCTATTGTGCAGATCAACGATATAAGATATCACATATTCCAGGTACACAATTGTTTCTTATAATTGTATTATTTTCTCAACATTGAAATTAAATGTTTTTGACGTTAATTGACGATAATTAAAAGATTTATATGTTTTGAATAACTAATGAATATTTTATTAAAGATGAGATGAGAGAATTGTTCTCAGAGATGTATTTCGGTTTCAGATGGTCATGGAATTTCTTTATCATGGCGGTTGCGCTACTTTAGAAGTTAATCAAAGCGATGTCCTAGAATTAATGGCGGCGGCCAATTTCTTTCAACTCGATGGCTTGCTCAGATACTGTGAAGCACAGTGTTCCACAATGGTGGATCTTGACAATATTGTTTCTATGTATATTCACGCAAAGGTATATTTTTATAACATTATATATACATTATATTCTCCCGTAGAGAAACTAAAAGTTGCTTAGTACTTGAGGCTATCGTTTAATGGACTATATCAAAATTGTCAGGTATATAACGCAGCACAACTCTTGGAATACTGTCAAGGATTTCTATTACAAAATATGATGGCCCTTCTGACGTACGACGATTCAGTTAAGCGTTTGTTGTTCGCAAAAAAGTTACCGAATCACGATGTTCTCGCGGGCCTGTTGCTCACACTGCAGTCGCGGATAAAGGTCAGACGATCTCAACAACAAAATAAGATAAAAGCTTAGATTGTTCCTGCAGTTGGAAATAAGTAAGTATATAATTGGAAATAAGCATAAAACGAGTGCGCACAATTTAAGTCTCTTAATTTCAAGTTGCAAGGGATAATATGTCAAAGTAAAAAAAAAAAAAAAGAAAGAAAAACTATATATGATTTGTTTTAGAAGACACCGAGATATAATTTTAAATACTCTGAGATAAAAATAAATATTGTTATATTCTAAAAGAACATGTATAAAAAAAGTCTCATTATATTGCGACGATTTTAAATCCAGTAATTTTAAATTGTTAGAACAAATTTTTATATGTACTGTAATATAATATTATGAAACATGTGTATATGTTACAAGTAATAAGAATAACATTAGGTTTATATGAGAATCGCTGCTTTTTACAAAGTACTCTTGTAAATAAGTTAGTATAAAAGCTTGGACATTTTTATATGTATATCACTTTTCCATGCTTTTATCATAAAAGTCGAGTTTTGTCTATGATTGAACAAGTTTTCTGGCGACAGATCTGATTATTATAAAATGTATATACTTTATACTGAAATATAAGTTCTTTTTATACCATGTATAAGTTATATATATGTGAAACAAAAACTTTGTTATTAGATATAATTAAATTTTTTTTTATTAGCAGCCTAAAAATTCAATAAATTCGGATACTCCTGATTTTGTGCCCGTATATAGTATATACTTTATATATATACATATATGTATATATGTACCTTTATATTTCTCAAAGCAATTTCATGTTATAATCATATAACATACAGGATATAAAAAAATTTTTATTTGCAAAAAACAAATGATAATTTAATGTCTAATATTAATGTAGCATATACAAATCAACAATGGCATAATAAAGCTATTATACTTGACATTAGCGCAAGTGTCATTATCAATGTTATAGCACTATTTATTTAAAGGATGTTAATGATTAATTGTATATACAGTAGTCAGAGATTATAATCTTAATTATATATTATATGTTGGATTTTTGAGGATCCGGAATGCCTAATAATCATATCAGAATCGAGTAATCGTAAAAAAGTGGCTGTCTCAATCGAATCGAGAAATTTTTCCTTTTTATATCTATCAACACCTACAATTTTAAATCTCACCTTATATAGGCGGTATCACTTTAATGATGTAATTATAAGCAATCATTTTGATTAATTGAATCAGACGCGGTGATATTCCAAATCTTGAAGAAAACTTTTGAGATACATATACATGTTATTATTTTGTACATATTTATTTTGTTATAGTTTCAATAAATTTAATTCATGGTGCTATTTTCAGATATTTCTATTGTTAAAGAAAATTATTTTTGACAATTATATTGATGAAATTAACACCCAAAATAATTAGCATCCAAACTACTGAGGTAATTTTCACAAAATTGTGGAATTATACAAGCTTAAGAAAATATACAATTGAAATAAAATTGCAATTCGGAAAACGCATACGGATGAATTCAGCACCCGGATTCTTATGCAATAGTCAATTAATACAATTTCATTAGAAGAATTATTTTTGTATAAAAAAAATTGGATAAATTATATGTCAACTTGCAATTTTTATCTGCAATCATTAAATCAATTACAGTTAGTAACATACCATGCAAAGAGTATGTATACAATAACAAAGAGATTTATTTTGATTGGTAATCCAAAAACAACCAACTATATATAAAAATTTTTTATACAAATATAATTAATATGTATATGTATATGCAAAGTTTTGTATTAATTTATTTATAGTTTTCATTTGCGCAGCTTGATGTCTATATGCAAAAAAAACTTGAATCCTCTGCCTACTTATATAAATCTGTTTACAAATAGTTTTACAGAACTTAATTCTTTTACATAATATTTTAAATATAGATACATTTTTTACTAAAGAAACGCATCAGTCGAGTTAATACATAGTATCAACAATATACAATTTTTGGAGCTATAAAAAGATATTAACAAATTTTTGTTAATTTCATTATTGATTTATGTATCACTATTACGTATTTTAAAGTAATTGAAGCATACAACATGAGAAGAGTTTTCCCAACAATCTCTTTGTCAATATAATATGACATATATTTGACAATATTTATGACATATAGGATGTTTTTAGAATTATGATATTATTTATATAATTTATATTTTAAACATAAAAAAACTTAAAATATTAAATTTATATTAATATAAAAAGTATCGACATAAGTATTTTATGTATGAGATATCATAAATAAAGGTGCGAGTTGCGATAAAGATATCATGATATCTCTTTTGTCGATATGCTTCAATAATTTACTCAGTAATAGCAATAATTCGCGCCTGTATAGGAAGTGTAAAAATAGAATTAAGAAAAAAGCCTAAAATTCATTTTATTTTTTGCACGTGAAATATCGTTTTATAAAATTTAAAAATGTCTAACGTATCTCTTCAAAAATACAAGAGATAATTTATATTCGTAAGCAGATATAAAATAAGTCTCTATACTCTCCTCATATTTGCATTTCCAATGTATAGAAATAGAGAAACCAAGATGAACTTTAAAGAAGTTACTTTAATTAATTTTATGAACAGATTGAGACAACCCTTTTTATTTATTGGTAAAACCCGCACAGAGGCTAGGGGCGCTAACTTAATTTAATGACTAGAATAACAGTTAATACAATGGCAACTATAATCGCAAGTAACAACAAGATGTAAACTTTCCGACGAAATTTACTTTGGTAATTACTTCCCTTCACAAGTTCCTGCGCTCCTAACTCCACGTTGCCGTGTATATTCTCTATATGGTTGTCGATCGTATCTGCAAGAAAGTCAATAGTTTCAATAAAGCGTGTTATATATTTTTAACATGGCAACAATTTTATTTCGGATTTTTCTATAATTCTTTATATGGTAAAAAAAGTTTACGAGGGTATCATTTATAAAACCAATTTTAATACTAAAAAGATACCTACCAATAGTATCACCTTGTTGATGCACCAATGCTGCGAGTTCGCGCATAATTTGATTCACATCCAGAATATCTCCCTCAATTCGTTTAATCCTATCTTCTCTCTCTAACAGTAGTCCTTGTTGAAACTCGAGTGTTCTAGGCATGCCATAATACACAATGATTGTATATATTATTTTCAATACAGATTGTGTTACTCAATATTGTTCTTCAAGATGCATTGAAACTAACTTACCATACACATAAGAGTGTATTTTATAACTTTTCTATATTAAAAATACATCTGATAATTAAGATTTTCATACACTGAAATTTTAAATTCGGTCTATTTTGTCAGATACACTATAAAATTCACGATTTTTATTATTGTCACAACCAGAAAATCTTACATTCTTCATTAGCTGATACAATTACGATAGCTTCTATGTTCATAGCATTGTGCGACCAATGGAAACCATCGCTTTTGTTCCAACTAAGCAAATAGGTAAGATTTTCTGCATTAATTATAAGTGTACAAATATTATATTGTTTTCTGCAAAGTGTAAAAATGTCGAAATTTTCGAACCTGTGTGTAGTCCTATGTTGTTGTTCCTGTACTTGAAGTAGCCGTTGTGTCTCTTCAGCGTCCTCCCCATCCATTGAATTTTCTAGATTAGTTATAGCTAAAATATGTCTCTTCATCTTTTCTGCAATTGACTGCAAAAAGTATTTTGTTATTAATTTAAGATCAGATAGAATGGATATTTTACACTTTGTATTCAATTATATTTTGCAAATTTTTGTATCAGAGGTGTATCTTATATTTACAGACATTTACCTTTTGCATATCAGAATATCTCTGTAACGCATCTTTAAAGTCTGTTGTGAGTTTTTCAATTTGTAATTTCTGCTGTTTATCTCCGCGTCTCATCAATACCGTTAGTCTTGCTATGTCCTTACTTGTCTGTGTGACCACCTGATTGGTACTTAATTGTGTTACATGTCTGAAAAGGATATATATATATATATATTAATATAAAATTTAAATTAAATGTTCTAATGTTATATTTCTGATTTTTTTATATATATATTTCTGTATTATTATAATTTAATGAATCAATCATATATAGTATTTCTGCTTACACTTTGTCTCTTAAACCTTGATTATCCTTACTGGTTCCAATGTTTTTATAAGCTCTTTCCAAAGTTTTCCAACTTGTGTTAATCGTATATATGTTAGTGGTAATATTTTCGCTGAGACTATAAAGTTCAGTAGGACTAAATCCTATTTCAGGTACATCCACCCGTTGATCCGTAGATCCATAGTTTTGCGAGCGCTGAGCCATTCTGAGAAGAAAGTTTTGCTTAATCTTTGTGTGCTAAGAATCTTATATAAATGTAGAAATCTATATAAGCATACTTATAAGCATTTTTTTACTTGTCCATTATTAATATTAAAATATAAAGATATATATTATTTCTTTGATTGTTACACACACATGTACACACATCTGTGTAATAAAATAATAAAAGCAGGATTTAAAAAAAATTATATATTTAATCTATATATTGTGTAGTTTGTTTTTATGATGTGACCTTCTTGTATACTTCTTGCATATGTAATACTATGAAATGACATGAATATTTAGTCATATGAATATTTAATACAATAAAATGCGATTATATATAATGAATACAAATTAATTAAGTACTATATCTTAAAATATTATATTATAATGATATTTTGGCAGCTATATTACTTGTTTATTAAATGTTTCGCTCTCTTTATTTATTTATATTCCCCCCCCCCCCTCCCCGAAAATTGTCTGATATTTAACTTGTGTAACGTATCTTTGTGTGTGTTTATACAGCAATTATTTTAAACGTTAGAAATTATCCTCTGGTCAATCTATGCTCGTTTCTTACACAACGGGAGATATCTAAACGCTTACAGGTATCGCGGAGCTAAATTTACAAGACTCGCGCTCTTTGTACGATGACATATACGGGAGATTTAACATTAAACTCGACCTCTCTCCCTCTAATTCTGTATGACAAACGTTTAATTGAAGGAGGGGTTAAATTAGGGATATGCAAATTGCGCGTACGAATGATCCCTCGTAAAGTGTCCATCACTCACCTGAGTCCGTTCTTTATCACAAGTGTCCTTAAACGTATAAATATAAATCGTCCCGTGTGGAATTACATTTAAAAACGCGTAGAAAAGTGTCTTCCTGCACGAATTGGCTCAGAAACTGACAGTTGCCCAAACGTTCTGACGCAACGGCCGCGTGACAATAGACCCTTTGTACTCCCGTCCGTGTACGTTGTCAGAGATCTGATTTACCGACGTATCGTATTTCCTTTTTCTTTCTTTTTTTTTTTTTTTTTTTTTGCCACGTACGTGCGAACGGAATTTACGGGAAAAATGACATGACGGATCTGTCAAAGCGGATTTTCGAATTTCTTTCACGACTTTTATCATCCGCGACAAAGGCGTGATTCGATTCTCGTCTACGGGAATCAGTCGCACCACCGGAGTCAAGTTGCCATCCGCGAGTGTCTTCTCATCGCGTATGGGATCGCGAAATCGCGAGCGAAATTTGGACGATTCGACTGACAATTATTCGATCCCGAATTCGTTCAAATCGCGCGCGAAGGATACCGGAAATCTTGATTCGCCCTCCTCCCTCCCAACTCGGTGATGTTCATCCGGTACGAGTTTTCGCTAAATCATGTGGAAATGTCTAATCTACCGTCCAAGGTATCATCGACTTACGAGATCAAGCGAGTATCTAACGTCGTCGATCAATTTGAACGATTATCGGTTGAATTTTCGCGCGAATGTTCCGGCGAAATAATATTAATCTGGTGTTTCTTTTTTCTCTTCAGAGCGCATGACGATCGATAGTCACGCGACGCGACGTCAGTCGCGTTACGGACGCCGATTTGACAAGAGCGGTATCTCTCTTGCCCCCTCCTTCGCTCGGAAGTTGCCGAGTGCGACCGACAGATTGCGAAAGCCTTCAGAAACAACAACCGTCGGCCGTAAGTAAACGCTATTGTGTTCTCTCCTTGCTTTGCGCGACGATTTAACGGGTGCGGTGCGGCGAAACTGGGTGCGGAACGCGGCCGCGAGCTCGCGGAAGGAAAAGAGGATCGCGGAGATCCTCCGCGTGGTCTCTCTCTCTCTCTCTCTTGGCAGCGAGATCCCGTCGCGCGGACACGGGTAGGTCGTCGTGCGTCATGTCGGGTGTGCGCGAAGCATCGTGTGTCTCTATCTCTCTCTCTCTCTCTCTCTCTCGGGGCCTCCGCCCGCCGCCGTTTTTCTCTCGAGAATCTTCGCGAATTTTTCGCGAGATTCGCTTCCCTCGCAAGAGAGAGAGAGAGAGAGAGAGAGAGAGTGAGTTTTCGTTCTCCCGAGATTTTTCACGAGAAAAACCGCCGCGTTTCGCCGTCGCCCACGCAACTCCCACGTTTGACACTTTAACCAGCCGAAGTGCGCGACCGTCCGGAGAGGAGGGGGAGGGGGGGGGGGGGGGGGGGG